GTATAGCAGTTCTAGACACTGTGAATTGCTTGAAAATGCCAGTGTAGCCTTCCCTTCTTTCTGAGCTCCAGACTTATTTCCTTTGTTTCTGGCATGGTGAATAACAGTAGTCCCTCTCATGTGTTCAAGTGTCCCGTTCCTTTTTATGTTGACTGAATGTTGCAAGGAAGCCAATTGACTGCACAGGCGTGGTTTCTGTAGGTTACTGTAGGTGTGTTTTGAAAGAAAAAATTCACATGGGGCTAATATTTTTGACCACTGCATTTTTTGCTATATTTGATGTCAAGCAAGCCTAAGAATGCATTTTATATTACAAAATGTACCAAAAGCTATTAAATAGCACTGGTGAATGTTGCATTATATCAAGTTTCATCAATGTTGCAAACATTGGGAAGAGTTTTAGGAAAATGTTTCATAAGTCCTGGGGGGCTAATAATTTTTTGCTTCAACTGTACTAATGGAAAAGGGGCTTATGGTTTCTCCCTTCCTGTTCCCATGTTCATCTCTCTGTGTTTTGTCGTTTTGTCTCCCCAGTCTGTCTTGTCCCCATGTTTAACCCCACACTCAGTGTCATGTTCATGTGTCACTGGCCTGCGATTTAATCTGAGATGATAAATTTCAAGGGAAGGAGTCTATATATGTGTGCAAGTGTATGTGAAGCAGCATGTGTAGTGAGGCATGGTGGCCAAGTGGTAAGGGATTGGTCTTCGGTAAATCAAACCCCATCCATTCCTTTCCTGTAATCTTGGGCTCCATGCTAAGAATGGAAACAAACAAGGATTTTAGTCTACTAATTATACTAGTGGACTGATGTCATATAATGAGGTACCTAATAACAGAGAAGAGATGCACAATATCTTTAAACACAAGAACTGGATAGACTTGTGAATTAATTTGACCTAATTTTAATGACTAGCAGTGGTCATTCATTTTTCTATGCATTTAATAGCCTCGCTTCTGTCAGTCTGCCCCAGGGCAGCTGTGGCTACAACAGTAGCTTGCCTCCACCAGTGTGTGAATGCATTGTAAAGTGCTTTGGGTGCCTAGAAAAGCGCTATATAAATGCAATCCATTATTATTAATTTGACTGACCAGTCTAAGCACTCACTGAGACTTGCATCAATGTTGGGTTGTAAACTAAAGATCATGAGATCAGTTCCCACATCAGAATTTACCTGGATATGTTATGTGTGGCGAGTCCCTTTGAATGTGAACATTAATCATAGAGTGACACAGTCTTGGGCCCATTCATCCTTCCTTCAATTATATGAGCACCAACTTTCAACATGCTTTTTCTTTAACAATGGGGTCTTGCGTAGTGAGTGTCCATACAGACCATTGTGATTGAGTGCAATACTTGCATTGCTGTTTTATTTGAAACTGTTGTACCTGCTAGTTCCAGGTCTGATTCACTTCCAGATTATTGCCCCAGCAGTGCCTACTGGAACATTCAGTAGTTTAGAAATTCATCTGTAACCAATGCAATCCATATGTTTTGTATGTGACAGCTGGGAAATGAGACGCCTTTTTAAAGGCCATCAGTTGGGACTAAACTAATAAGAACTTAGTATAGCCCATGATTCAGTAGTTTGGAGAACCACCTTTAACAGAAAGAGCTTTAACTAATTATTTTTTTTATGACTTTCTCTAAGTCTCTCTGAATTTTGTCCCAGTTTTCTTTGCTAATTTATGTTTGCAGACATTTGTATTGTATTAAGGTCCCACCGTAGCATTGTAGTTGAGGTCATCGTGGCCATTGTGTTGTAGATTTGCTGCTGTACTTGGGATTACTATCATCTAGTTTCAGCTAAGCTTTAGCTGTCAGAAAGAGGGCATCGCACTTGATTCGAGAATACTTAAGAATACTACAGAGGAATTGAT